AATTCTGATCTTTTCTTTTCTACTTAAGGAAGGCCTTCAAGAGTTCTTAGATGAATTCCTTTAGTGTTTTTTTTGTTTGTTTGTTTTGTTTTGTTTTTTCGTCCGGGAAACTCTTTATCTCCCCTTTGATTCTAAATGATAGCCTTGCTGGGTAATCTTGGTTGTAGGTCTTTTAAAATATTATACCAGTTTCTTCCGGCCTAAAATGTTTCTGTTGAGGAATTACCAAATAATCTTATGGGAGGTCCCTTATTGTAATTACTGTTTTCTCTTGCTGCTTTTAAGATTCTCTTTTTATCTTTAACTTTTGGCATTTTAACTATGATCTGTCTTGGTTTGGGTCTCTTGGGTTCATCTTGTTTGGAATTCCAGGACTTGTATGTCTATTTCCTTCACCAGATTAGGAGAGTTTTCAGTCATTGTTTCTTAAATAGGTTTTCAATCCCTTGCGCTCTCTCTCCTCCTTTTAGTAGTCCAGTGGTGCTAATGTTGTTACACTTGGTGTTACTCCAGAGATCCCTTAAATTATCCTCAGTTTTTTAGATTTTTTTTCTTTTTGCTTTCTGATTGGGTCTTTTCCACTATTTTGTCTTCTACATTGCTTATTTGATCCTCTGTTTCACCTAATCTGCTATTGATTCCCTCTAAGGTTTTCTTCATTCCAGTTATTGTTTTTCATTTCTGAATAGTTTTGTTTTTTGTTGAAGTTCTCATTGAATTCCTCTATTCTTCTCCTACGTTCATGAGTATCCTTATAACCAGTGTTTTGAACTCTGTCTCTGGTAGACTACTTCTCTCCATTTTATTCACTTCTTTTTCTGAAGCTTTGCTGGGTTCTTTCATTTGGGATATGTCTCTTTGTCTCCTCATTATGGCTAAGTCTCTGTGTGTGTTGTTTCTATGTATTGGGTAGATATTCTACATCTCCCAGTCTTGGCTTAGTGGCCTCATGTAGTAGGTATCCTGTAGGGCCCAGTGGTGCAGTCTTCCTTGTTACCTGAGCCAGGTGCTCCAGAGGTGTCCTTTGTGTGGGACTGACCCTCAGGCTAAATGGCTGTGAGGACTTGCTATGACTATAGCAGATGAGCTGTTTTGTGAAGGATGACCCACAGAACAGTAATCATTTTAGCAGGGCTCTTGTGCCAACTGAGCCCACCCTTTAGTGTGTCATTTGTGGAGTTTGCTGGGTGGTACTCTAATTTGGTCTAAAGCTACCTACTGGATGTGTCGGTTCTAGAGCCTTTGGAGGGGCTCCAGTGCTGGTCAAGATCAGCCACTATGTTTACCTCTGGGGCTACCTGGTAGGAGATACAAAGTGATTTTCAGTTGGTTGCTGCTTATGCTAGGCTTGGGGGCACTTGGGAGAGGTTATGCTATAAACCAAGGCTGGCAGCCACTAGTGCCAGGCTTAGGACCCTTTTGTAGGCACCAGGATGTGAGCTGAGGTCAGCTGCCACTTGTGCCAGGCTTTGGGACTGTTTGAAGCTACAGTCCAAGCCAAGACTGCTGCTTATGCCACCTTGTGGCCAACTGATGGGAGTTACAATGTAAGTTAAGACTGGTTGCCACTTGTGCCAGGCTTGTGGTCACGTAGAGAGGTACAGGGGATGCTGAAGCCAGCCGCTGCTTATTTGGGGTTTGTGAACCTTTGAGATATTTTGAGAAAGTCCACAGCATGAGCCAAGAGAGGCTGCTTCTGTGGAGCAGCTACCAGAAGAAGTTTGGGCCAGATACACAAGTTGGGTGGGGTGGATCTCAGGGAATCACCAGGTGAGACGGTGTTAGCCAGGTTAATGGAGAGTTCGGATTTGGTGCCCACCTGCGCCTGCAGGCTGAGTGGAAGGAGTGTTTAACAAAGGAACAATGGTGCCTGCCAGCACTTCCATCCCAGAGAGCGGCCCTCACCCCTACCCCTTCAGCCCCTGTCTTATAACTAGTCACTTTAGTCAGTCCTCATATGTCCCTGGCTCCTGCTGAGCTATTGGCCCTGTGTTGGGGGCCAGAGGGAGTGAGTTCACGAGCAAATCTATGCATGGACCCTCAATAGGATCCCCGTCTCCAGCAGCCTCCGTCTCACTCAGACACAATTCGACTGGTTTTCACATCCAAATGTTATGGGGACTCCTCTTCCTGGCACTGGTGTCCCAGCCTGAGGAGCCCAGAATGGGGCTGGGAGCCCTCACTCCTCAGCAGGGGCTTCTGCACTCAAGATATTCCTCCTGATTCTTTTAATTTATTTTTGTTACACATTTTTCTCTTTTCCCCATTGACACTCTTTCACCCATTGACACTCTCTTCCCCATCCCCTTTGGGACAACTTTGTTGTCCATATCCATCAGTTATGCGCATATACATGTAAGTTCTATGGTTTATCTCTTCCCTCCCACTCACTCTTCTGAGAGTGTCAGTCTGTTAGTTGCCACATCATGGGTGAGACCCGCCCATCCTGCGTCTGCGCCCCTACCAGCCTTCCACGGTTTCTTTACATCCTTGGTTCTATCCTCAGTTCTCGGACCTCTGGTCAGCTCGCCTCCCTGTGGTTCTCAGCGATGGCTGCTGTATGATGTGGTTGTAACCTTGAAGTGGCTGTGGGGGAGGTGAGCAGCATGTTTACCTCCACTGCCACCTGCCCAGACCTCGTGCCTGGAGGCTCACGGGGTGGGGCGTGCGCACTTGTGCTTTCACATCTGAAGTAGCGTTTTCCTCAGCGAAGATTTATTTACTTTGGCGTTTATGGTTCGCCAGGCTGGCGATGAAAACCCTCTTTTTGTATTCCAGAAGGTGGTGCTATAATAGCTCAAGTGCTGGTTTCTCATACCTGAGTGCCTCTCAGGGCTGCCCTACCAGAGGGCACAGAGAGCTGGCAGCAGCATGCTGGGAGGTGTAGACTTTGTGCCTGAGGCTTTGGGGGTACCTACAGCCCAACACAAGGGTCCTTGAGTGGGGTGCTCCCAGAGGTCTGTGGGTAGACCTCCTGCTGAAGTCCCAAATCTCCCTCTACCCCAAGAGAGTCCTCCTCAGTAATTCGGGTATTGCTAGAGAGAAACAGACCCCTCTCGCTGCAACCTACGGAGCCGAGCAGTCTGTCACTCGCCACTCTCTCTTGCCATCTCCTCTGGCAGAGAGGTAGATGCTGTGCTTTGCAATGTCTCCTTTGGGAGGGGCACCTCAGTGGCCCTCCTTCACCACCTTGAAAGAGTTTCTGTCTCCCTCCTCTGGCATGCCAGACTCTCCTGTCAGGTTGGCAGCTATCTACAAAATCTCTCCCTCCCAAGAGTGTTTGGGACTCTCCACGTTCCCCTTCTCCGATCATGGCACGTGGGTGTTGGGTACTCACCAAATCCTCTGCATCCACAGCAAATTCCCCTCCTCCAAGGTCTGACCCACCCACTTTCAGATGCAGGGGTGGGTGAAAATTGCTGGTGTCCTGGTGTAAGGTGCAGAGGCACTTCTGTTCTGTAATGGATGTCCAGTTGGTTACACACCAGAAAGGAGGAAAAGGGAATGTGTCCTGCTGCTGTGAGGCTGACACTAGAGACGCCAACGTCCTGCTGCTCCATCTGGGTGCAACCAATCTATCGAACTGATAAAAATGCATCAAGCTGTACAATTCTTTGTATGTATACTTTTCATATGCAATACTTCAGTGAAAGTTAAACGTGACCCCTACTTTGGGTACCTAGCCAAAAGAACTGACAGCCAGGACTCAAATCTTTATACACCCACGATCACGGCAGCGTTATTCACAATAACCGGAAAAGGCAGAAGAAACCCCAGTGTTCATCAACAGATGAATGGATCAACAAAATGTGTATACACAGGCAACAGAATATTATCAACCAGAAAAAGGAAGTACATTCTGATATATGCTGCAATAAGGATGAAGCTCAAGGGCATTATGCGAGGTGAAATAAGCCAGCCTCACATAAAGGGCAAATGTTGTATGACTCCACTCACACGAGGACTTAGAGTATTTAAACTACGAAGACAGAAAGTAGAATGAGGGTTGCCCGAGACGGGGGGAGGGGGGGGGTGGCAAGGAACAGGGCACTATTATTTAATAGACACAGTTTTAATTCTGCAAGATGAAGGGAACTGGGGATAGACGGTGAGACAGCAGCACAACCACTGATCTGTCTACTTAAATGATTATGATGATACATTTTATGTTGTGTGGATTTTACCACAAATGTTTTTAAAAGTTAAATGTGACTTTAATAAATAACCTCCAAGTGAATGTATTATTTACTTACCTCTGGTGAACTTTTCAGAATCTTCACACTTTTCTCCTTGGGGGCTACTCTAAACCCTGCCTTTTCCATCTCCTTGGACAAAGTGAGTGAAAAACGCCAACCATGGGCTCTCCTCGAGCAGCAAGTGAGATGCTAAGACTGCCTTCCACTCGCACATGGCCGACGCCGAACACAACGCTCGGACAGCCTCCCTCCAGCTGTACTCACAACCATGGTACGAGGGGGGTGAGTCAGTCGGGTCTGTTACCCGAACTCTGAAGTCGGGGAAACCGACCAAGAAAGAAACACAGAAATCACACCCAAAGAAAAACACAAACAAAATTCAAATGATCTGATACCAAATTCAAATTGGAAGACATCCTCTTAGAACCCTCACGTTCAGTACTGGACTTGAAAAGCAGATTCGGTGTATGATGCTTTTCTATTCTTCCCATAAGAAAACATTCTATATTATGTATTTTTTTTCATCCTCACCCCAGTATATTTTTCCATTTTTTCAGAGAGAGAGGAAAGGAGGGAGGGAGGGAGAGAGAGGGAGAGAGAGAAACATTGATGTGAGAGAGATACATCGACTGGTTGCCTCCCGCTCAACCCTGACCAGGGCCGGGGATGAACCACAACTGAGGTACGTGCCCTTGACTGAAATCGAACCCGCAACTCATTGGTGCACAGGCCGACGCTCTAACCGCTGAGCCAAACCGGCCAGGGCTGTAGATCTTTTTTATACACTGAAAATAATTCACTCTGTGACTTGAAAACATTTTATTTAATTTATACAAATAACTACTAAATACAAAAAGTAGATTAAAACAAAATAGTTATTTTTTTTTTCTGGCAGAGTTTAAATGCACATAATGGATAATTCCGAAGAAAATGCATTTTCCCCACAGCGTTCAGGACTAAAATTCTACTGAAATCTTTGCTTCTAAATCAGTAATATATTCAGTGGTGTCACATGGGTAATGGCTAAATACGTTCTGCATATGAACTGAAAAAAAGTTACAGTCTACACACATACAAATGTGAAGCACTTAAAATGTGAATTTAACTGATAATAAAAGAAAATGTCCATTTCAGAGTATAGTGTTAAAAACATTTCGGTAATAAAATCATAAGACCACATAAAAATAAGCTTTAACATATGCACAAGGCAGTTTTGTAAAAACTGCTAAGTGCACAAGTAATAAATAATTTGCAAAGTTGTGTATAAACAATTCCTAATGTTCAGCATCATTGTAAACATCAGCACATGTGTAAAATGCAGCAAAGTCTGACATTATGTTTTGTTTTGCCAAATTGAATTCCTATTATCCAAAGACAGACCAGTGGAGTACGCAGCCAATGTTTTGGCAAGTTGGGTCTTTAAAATTAAGAGTAACAGTGCAAGTAAGGAATGCAAAGAATTCCTAGTGCAATAAAGAAGAGAAGCACAGGCAATATTGCTGATTAAAAACTCACCACCTCCTTGAGTTTCCCGTGGGGAGTGAAAGATATGCAAAGCCACTGTCGTAATGCCCAGATCTCTCTTAGGATTTCTCTGTGTTCCTCCAGTTCCCTACCTTTGCAACAGTGTCTGTCCAACATCAGTCTCTGCAGTGTGAATAGTTGTGAAATGCCCAGTTCACAGTCATTGAGCGAGGTTAGGGTGGTTTGGGTGTCTCCCCCACACATGGCTGGGTACGATGTCTGCCTTGTCAAAGCAGCCATTTGGGGAGGGAGACACATGGATTCTGTTCTGACAACCAGTCAGGCCAGCACTAGGTCCCAGCTGGACAATGACAACGATGTCAAATCTTCCTTCTTGACACCGTGAAAATGTCAACAGTCAGTTTTCAATTTGTCTAGGGAATTATCGATTTTGGTCAAAGTCTTTTTGATACGCAGAGCTGTGAGTCTCGCGGACGGATTTTGATACCAGCATTCTTTCATCAGCTTCGCCAGAGAAGTTAATGTCTGAGGAGAGAAAGAACAAACACCACAGTGGAAAATGGTTTGGAGAGGACAGAGAAGTTGGGCAGACAGATGTATCAGCCATTCTACAGAACTCTGTAGGTCTTGTGAAGTTGAAGTGGTTGTCATTGCCATCTTTTCTAAACCAATAACCAAGGCCTTGACCACTGATAAAGAAGCTTCTCTGAGCTTCATGACATCTGTCCTTTGGACTCCTACATTACCAAATGACTTTATCAGGTCAATCACCCAGGCCAGGCTGAACCCCTTGATGGATTTATGGGTGATAAAAATGGCAATACTAGCCCAGAGCTCATACTGCAACGTGCAGAAAGGGTCACTTCTCAATGTCTTAGATTTGCCACTAAAGAGCAGCAACAAGGATCTTGAGTATTGAACAGCTCACGTATGGAATTGGGATATGCAGGGATGGAGAAAACGGTGAAAGGCATCATTGGGTGTTTTGGTTGACACATGAAACTACAGTCTTAGGGCCAGTGGTATAGTAATGAGACTCCCAATTTCAAGGGCTAATCAGTAGGAGAAATTCTTCTGAATACTGTCAGTCATTAGCAAGATCTATCAGCTATGGCTCCTTCAAGAGAGAGACAATTTTCTGAACCTAGTCAACCAGATCTAAGGACTTTCTGCATAAAACAGGAGAGAAAGGAATAGATAGTGGAGGCAGATCACTTAAGAACCATACTGGCTGAAGCTGAAGAACAAGCAGAGCTGAGGGTAGCTGTAAACTAAGAAAGTGGCACTCTTACCGGGTCTGAGAACCATCTGTTGGGTATGTTTGGCCTCTGTTGATCCACACAGACCACTTTCCTCATATCTTCAAAACTGGGGTCATTGGGAACCACATCATAGAATGGTGGCTTGTAATCTTCCACGATACCTGCACACATGGACAAGAATTGTGCTGGCTTAGCAAGGGAGCAGAGGTTCCCTCAGGGCTTTTGTTGATGGGTGTCACAGTATAATGTGACAGGAAAAGAACTGATCACCCTCCTCATCACCTCTGGCACACTTCAAGGTAATTCTGAAAGCTACAGGTAGGTCTTAAAATAAGTGGGGAACAAGACAATAAATAGAAGCGCTGCAGAGTAACTGGAGGAAAAGTAACTGTTAGAAGTAAAGATGACTACTTCTCTTATAATTACAACTATTAACAAAATGCTCCAAGAGTGTATATAAACAGCTATGTAAAGCCCAACACAGAAGAACCAAGAAAAAATTCCACTGGTAATCAAAAAATGACACGAAATCTTTTGACATGAATCTAGTAATTTCAGATCCTAAATTAAATAAAAAGTTGTCCACAAACTAGAGCTACAGGCAAACAAATAGTCAAAGAACATTATCAAAATACCCCTTTTGGTTATGATTAGGAAAAAAGTACTTGCTATAAAATAATTCCCCCCTTATTGAGAGGACGCAAATAATTAATACAAATTATAAATTTCCTCATTCATTCATTCTACATGGACTGAGTACCTGCTAGCTGCCAGGTACAGTTCTCTGATGGCTCAATTATTTACTCTCAGTTTGAAGCATAAAATGTAAAGAAGAATAGTCATTTACTCCCAAGCAAATATGAAAGTGGCTCATTTCAGCTTCTGATCGAATGCCTTAGAAACCTTTTTTTTCCCCCCAGCAGAATTACATCAACTCCTTATTTTCTCAAAGAAGAGTAATTCCAGAAATAGAAAAACATTTTTAACTTTATCATTTAGGGATGGGGTGGGGGTTCAAGACAGTTGCATAGGAAAACCCCAAACTCACTTCCTCCCATGAACACACTGCACATACACCTGTATAGAGAGCATTGCCTCCTGGAGACCTGGGCTGACTGAACAGCTCTGCACAACAAATGACAGAGGGACCACGAAAAGAAGAGCTGGAGAGATGGAGACGTCGGAACCCTGCGAGACAGGGTGACCTGCAGCAAGAAGGGATGTCACTGAGGGGCCGCGTGGGCAGATTCACCTGCTCTGGGGCACAACAGTGAAACAGCAATTTAAAAGGTACCGAGACTATATGTAAAAATATCCATCTACTAACTCCAAGGTGCCTATTAAATGGGTGGGGAACTGTGGGAACTCTCTGGAGTCTGCAGAAACTCTCTAGAATGGGAGATGCCTGCGAGCACCATGGTTGATGTTCCCTTCCACCTGCACAGCACAGGCATGAGCTCGGTCTAAGCTCTAGCTGGCCTGTAAGGCCACCAGAGTGCCCTGAACCACCCCCACCCCAGCTGGCATCACTTCGGCCCCAGCCAGTGGACCTCCAGGGTGCTCCTGGAACCCACTGCGGCCCCAGCCCGCTGTCTCCCCAGGGTGCCACACATGCCCTCTTTCGCTCCAATTGTCCAGCCAAAACCACCTGATATGTGCAGTCTACACAGACATGTCTTCTACACAAGGCTACTCCTTCAGGTTGGGAGAGACAGCTGTTTCTAATTCACAGAAACAAACACAAAGGCAACCAAAATGAGGAGACAGTGGAATATGGTCCAAATGAAGGAACAATTATAAAAGGAAAAAAAATCCCTAATGAAATGGAGATAAGTAATTTGCCTTAATAAATTCAAGGAGACTGAAATCCTATCAGGTATCTTTTCCAACCACAATAGTATAAAACTGGAAATCAATTACAAAAAGAAAACTAGAAACACACACACACAAATAGGTATAAACTAAAACAACTTACTGAACAACCAGTGGGTGGGTCAAACAAGAAATTAAACAGGAAATCAAAACACATCTCAAGAGAAATGAAAATGGAAACACAACTCTTGAAAATCTATAGAACGTAGCAAAAGGAGTTCCAAGAGGAAGGTCATAGCAATACAGGCCTACCTCAAGAAATAAGAAAAATCCCAAGTAAACAATCTAACTTTACCCCCAAAGGAACTAGAAATAGAAGGACAAATAAAACCCAAAGTCAGTATAAGAAAGAAAATGATAAAAATCAAAAAGAAATTAATTAAATAAAAACTAAACAAATAGAAAGAGAAAACTATTAGCCACACTCATCAGGGAAAAAGAGAGAGGGATCAAATAAATAAAATCAGAAATCAAACAGAAGTTACAAATGACACCATAGAAATACAAAGGATCATACAATAATACCATAAACAATTAAATGGCAACAAATTGGAAAACTTAGAAGAAACAGATGAATTTCTGAAAACATACAACTTTCCAAGACTGAATCAGAAAAAACAGAAAACCATAACAGACCGACTATGCTAATAAAAGTGAATAGGTAATAAAAAAATAAAAACAATAACAACACAAAAAAACCTCTCAACAAACAATGTCCAGGACCAGAGAGCATCACAGGTAAATTCTGCCATATGTTAAAAGAAAAATTAATACCCACCCTTCTCAAACTATACCAAAAAATTCAAGAGGAAGAAACTCTTCCAAACTCATTCTGTAAAACCATCAAATACAAAACCAGACAAAGGGAAAAAAAAGTGTACAGGCCAATAGCCCTGATGAAAATATATATAAAAATTGTCAACAAAATAGTAGCAAACTGAATTCAACACTCCATTAAAAGGATCATACATCATGATCAAGTGGGATTTATTCTAGGACTGCAGGATGGTTCAATATCTGAAAATCAATCAGTGTGATACACCACAATAAAAAGACCAAGGGGAAAAAATCATGATCATCTCAATAGATGCTGAAAAAGCAGTTAATAGAAGTCTACGTCCATTTGTGATAAAAATGCTCAGCAAAGTGGGAATAAAGGGAACAGACCTCAACATAATCAAGACTGTGTAAGACAAGCCCACAGCTAGCATCATAACTACAGTGAAAAGCTAAAAGCTCTCCCTGTCGGGTCAGAAACAAGACAAGGATGCCCCTCTCACTACTCTTATTCAATAGAGATTGGAAGTCCTAGCCGCAGGAATCACACATGGAAATGAAACAAAAAATTAAATTACTTAAGAGAATCCATTCTTATAAATACCATATAAATACACAGTTTCCACAAAAGATTAGACATGATAAGGAGCCTCTATTAAAGAAATACTAGATTTTTTTTCCTTAAAACTTCGCAGGTCCAACTGATTTTATTTTTAAAATGGACTGTATTGCCTGGTTGGTGTGGCTCGGTAGATTTGAGTGTCATACCATGGACTGAGGTCCCCTTCGATTCCCGGTCAGGACACATGCCCGGGTTGTGGGTTCCATCCCCAGTAGGGGGGCGTGCAGGAGGCAGCTGATCAATGTTTCTCTCTCACATCAATGTTTCTACCTCTCCCTTTCTCTTGCTCTAAAAAAAAATCAATAAAACATGTTGAAAATAAATTAATTAAATATAAAATTAAAATGGAAGGTATTCTAATTATGTAAAAGTAAATTTCTAATTGATACTATTGTCTAATTAACTTTTCCACACTGCATAACTGCATATATAATGTATTTCAGTCACTGGATTAAATAAAAACGTTTCCTGGCAAATCATAAACAGCTCATATTAGGCATAAACCACAGCTCACAGAAGACGACTGGGACCAGCTCAACCTCCGAGACCCTACCTACTTCTCGTGTAAGGATCCCAGGGAGCATTCAAACAAAAATAGTTTAGTTCTTTTCAGTACCAACAGACACCCAATAAAATACCACTGGACCTGGGTCTGCAAGATAATTTATACCTTTTCAAGGGCCACCTCAATTTATAGCAAACATAAGAGATATGCCCCTCCCACCTTTCAATTTTTCTGAAAGAGAATATATTTAATAACCTGGTTTAACTATTTTTAAAAATCTAGGATGATAGCCAATTATTTGAGGTAATTTGTCTGGCTAGCTTGGGAAGGGTTATTTGAATGCAAACAGTAACGCTAGTTGGATTTTCCTCTAAAAGCAAAAGAAAACAGCAAGGCTGGACTTTTAAAACACGAGATTTGGTCATACCTCCCAATGAATTTCGCCACACAAAGCCGAAGCTTCCCCTTGTGTTTATATTTACCACATTTTGACCTTATTAAATGCCCCCATGTTTTAACAAAAGGAATCAAGTTTAAAAAGAAAGGCCATCTAACTGATTATGTCTGGGGCTTAGTCACGCCTCTTTCTTCAACCAGCGGTCAACTGTTGATTGTTTCCATCTGACACTAGTCATGCTTCTCCAGAAGAAAATCAGCCTGGGATTAAACTCTGGCTGTCATGCGAAACTCCCTCTGCTGAAGGAAAGCAATTATTTCAATCAATATAAAGTACATTCTGGGCCGACTAAGTATGGAACACCTTGCTACATATTGAGGGTGATAAAAATGTAAGACACACTCTTGGTTTTCAAGGAACTCAACATCTAGTGGAAGATGAGGACAAGCCCAGCTCTTTGTTTTGCTTAGATAATGAACCCTTTTCTTTTTTTAATGTTTTTTATTGATTTTTTAGAAAGAGAGAAAAGGATAGGGAGAGAGAGAGAGAGAGAAACATCAATGAGAGTGAGAAGCATCAACATCAACTGGCTGCCTCCTGCACGCCCCCTACTGCGGATCAAATGTGCCCTGACCAGGAACTGAACCAGTGACCTCTTGGTGCACAGGTTGATGCTCAACCACTGAGCACACCAGCCGGGCATGAAATCTTATTTTAAAAAGTCTCAATCTTTTTTCACTTCACTACTTACTTTATATCTTGAAAGGCAAAGACACATGAGAAATCCTCACTATATTTTTACTTGGTTCCTAAATTCACTCAGTAACCGTTCTGATCCCTTAAACTGTGTGTACCGGAGGTTGTGTTTGGCACTAAGGACACAAAATTGAAAAAGATGCAATGTAGGTGATGAGGAACAGGAAAAAAGGAAAGGGAGCTGAGAAAATAAATTACACTAGCATTAGAGGTAGGGGCAGAGAGAAGAAAA